ATAACCTTATTGGGGATCACCAAAATAGTCTTTTTAATCCTGCTCACATTTTATTTACGCCTATTTAAATATTAGCTGACGTAAATTTGGTTATGTCATGAGACTTATATGCGTTCTCAGTTTTTACTTATTATTTTGATCCTCTTCCTGTCTTTTTTTGCTTCGCTTCGTCCAGAAAGCTATTCATTTCACCATCCATCATGGGTATTAGCGGCTGTTCCATACTATTTTTATCTTCTTACTTTACTCCAACATAGCTATATCTCATCCTACAATTTGTTTTCATGAATCTTTAAATTCTTTTTATCATCAACTTTTTGAATGCTTGTGCACGACTAATTTCATTTTAAATTATTCTTTTTCCAGCTCCATTTTCACAATTGCCTTCCTACATTTATCTTTTACTCGTCTTTATCATCTGTTTTGTATCAAATTATCTAGTGTCCCCTCGAATCTGAATCTTATTCAAATGTGCCTGGTGCTCGACTCCGGAACTTTACTCAACGTTTTATGGCTTTGGTGATGGGTGACGATAAGGTACCCCCTGTGAATGTAGAGAAAGAAAATAAGACCAGAACTCTGAGGAGCGTATTCAATCAGATGCTGCACAGCTGCATAGAGTCAATCGGTGATCCTGCCGCGGACCTGTGCAGTCAGGCCCTACAGGTGGATATTGATAAGTAGAAGGAAATTGGATTGTTATTTTACTTTTTTGTTACTGTTATTTTGGAAGCTAGAAACTATTAGCATACCTATTTTTTGAAGCCTTTGTTTCTGTTTTGAATCTCAAGTGGTTTTTAATCCGGGCTTTCCTGATTTACTATTTTAGGTTAATTCCATTTCATATTTGAGCACATATATTAACTAGTTATATATGTAGGGTAAAATTCTCATTGATATGAAGGCTAAGCTGTTATGGACTCTGGGTCGAAGTCCACTTTCCCTGTATGTAAGTGGTTTTACTTCGTTTTCGCAACTTAGTCGCGCTGTTAAGGCGACCCAATGAGACGCACCTTGTCCCGAGTCCTCTTCTATAGTTGATATGATCATTCAAAGCGTCCGACTTTGGACGTGGTACATTCTCTGACGTTTCGCCGGCACCATAGTCGACATCGTAGTCGGTATTGTCAATAAGTTTTTCCATTCTTAGCACCGAGCTTCAAGTTATCAAACAGTCAAGTGAAGTCAATTTCTTTACCATTTTTATGCCGAACGGTTGTGTTATCCCTCCTGTTCTGGTACATCCACCTACTCTTTATCCTCACATATCATTCACTCCCTATCACAACTCCTTACTTATTTTTATTCGATTCCTTTGAAGATGTGCTTCTTTTGGCGAGTTTGACGGGGCGTTATCGCACCTGCTTATTTACCTTGCCTCCTCCCTCTCGATTTTCCGGAATTGCAGATCCAATTCGAACCTAACAATCGCCCGCATGACCCCAGATATTCGTTTCTTATCTTATTGATGGACTGATTTCACTCTGTTCCAGTTACAGTATACGCTACACTCAAGCCGCTTTCTTTCATTGTGTCACAAGCATGTATACTCTAGTATTACTGTACAGAGAGCCTAGACTCTGATTCCCATGCTTGCAGATATCATTGTTGGGGAGACCTACATTTCGTATTAAAGTGCATGAAGGAGAGATTCGTAGGTTGATCTCACCAGAAGACGACGGCTGAATCCCGTTGTACTGCAGCTGTTTGGCTTTACTACGACGTTCAGACCTAGTATAACGTGAGACTTTTACAAGAATGAGTTCTAGCTCTGATTATGTCCATCATATGATCGACGAAAGCTCACCCAGTTTTCACCTGAAGCGAGGGAAGATGTTTCGTAAACTGCGTCGATCTGCACGTCGTAGTAAAGCCAAACGGCTGGAGTAGAACGGGCTTCAGCCGTCGTCTTCTGGTGGGATCAACCTACGAATCTATTCTTCATGCACTTTCAGACGAAATGAAGGTCTCTCCAGCAATGTCATTTCAGAATATTCATCAAAACCCAATTACTCTTCGTATTTGCAGATATCAAGCATTACCTCATTGGATGAATGATCTCTATTAGTCAACCCATGTACCTTGAGCAAACTGTGAAAGTGTATTTCTTGTCTTCTGTGGCATCTCGAGTGAATTTGTATTCAATTTGACTCCGATCTACTAGCCATAGTGCCTAATTTCTGTGACGGTTGTGACCATCCGTCTCCCTAATCCTGTGACAGCCAGGCATCGCATTTGTAGTTGTTTCTTCGAGCAGAGTACACTAATTGGGAACCTCTTTTCTCGATTTTCTAATTTTCCTTGCCCGCACTATCTTTGTTATCGCTTTTACTCTTGTTACCAATAGGTTCTTGTCCCAGGTGTCCTCGCTTTGCTGGCCTTATTGTATTCTTGCTTGCTCCGAGGTTATTTAAGTAGTAGGTAAATTTTTTTATTTATAAGTATATATATATATACATAAGTAGGCCTTACGTTTTCAATGAATTTCACATAGCCTTGCTTACCACCACAGAATGTTATATGATGAAAGGCCTGGTTTTCCTTGAAATTCACATCTGCCCTGTGATCAAAGTATTATCGTGAAAGTGTGTCGAGATTATACACTGCACTCCCACAGCCTGGGTTCAAGTCACGATAGGGGTGCTGATGAGACCTAGCAGATGTGGAAACTGCAGCCTAGCCTGGATCTGAACAACTTTTGTGAAGCAAGGCTATATGAAATTCATTGGGAACGTAAGGCCTGCTCATACTATTGTGTGTGGAATTCAGCTACTGACCCTTTATAATCTTAAATGAATTAGAGTGGATACATATTCTTTAATAGACATAGTTTTCACTAACTCTGCCTTCTTCCAATCTCTTTTTTTTTATTTCTTCACCAAGCATTTCGATGGCCCCCTTAATATTCCGTTTCCTTATTTTTTCATCGTATGAGGCCCTTCTTTCTATTTCCTCCCATTTTATCTCGTGTCTAGTCTGTGAAATGTGTTCAGCTATTTCTGTTCTCTGTATATATTTTCATCTATACGTTCTCCAAAAGGCTTGAGGTAGACTATGAGTAAAACTTATACTGGCTGGGATTAAGTGAAATCAGTCAATCGCTAATATAAGAAACGAGTCTATCTTAATGCTTATTAAGGTCTTGTCTACAAACAAGCCTATGCATGACGAGTTTAAATAGAATACTTTGAA